AGCCCTGGATCCCAACCCAGCCCTCTCTACCAGCGGGTCACAAAACTACCCTACCAGAAAATCAGACATTCAGACGGCAGAAAAAGGGTCTTGGCTAAAATGTAGACAGCGGCTGATAATTGAAACCGATGGCTGGGAGGGCGCTAAAGGCATGGTTAATTAACTGGATAATCCTCCGGGTTCCGCACTAAGCATGGTTTTAAGGTCAACAATTCAACAGTGATTTAGACGTTATGGAGTACACTGGGTCAGCGTAGCAATTACTGGAAATTGGTTATTATCTGGATAGAACGCTGACCCTTGCAAATCATACTATTAGCACTAAAGCTCAGAGCATACTGATAAGAGTTATTTTGTACTTGATAACTGTAATATATACAGCCTAAGCACCTTTGTATTTGTTCAGTGTCATTAGATACTGTGTGAAATACCTGTACTAAGACATTATTATGTACATGTATTACTGGAAATTGGTTATTATCTCGATACAATGCTGACCCCTGCAAATCATGCTATTACCACTAAAGCTTCGTCTTCAAATACTGATAAGAGTTTTGTAAGATATCTGTAATATAGGCAGCCAAAGCACCTTTGTATGTGGTCACTGGACACTGTGTGATAAACCTGTACTAATAGATTATTATGTACATGTATTACTGGAATTTGGTTATTATCTTGATACAATGCTGACCCCTGCAAATCATGCTATTAGCACGAAAGCCGACCGTCTTCAAATACCGATAAGAGTTACAAGTATTTTGTAAGATATCTGTACTATATACAGCCTAAGCACCTTTGCATATGTTCACTGGCATTGGACAATGTGTGATATACCTGTACTAATAGATTATTACGTACAAGTATTACTGGAATTTGGTTATTATCTTGATACAATGCTGACCCCTGCAAATCATGCTATTAGCACTTAAGCCGACCGTCTTCAAATGCCGATAAGAGTTACAAGTATTTTGTAAGATATCTGTAATATATACAGCCTAAGCACCTTTGTATGTGGTCACCGTCATTGGACACAGTGTGATATTCATGTACCTGTACTAATAAATTATTATGTACATGTACATCATTGGTTTGTCCTTGCCAAGTTTTAAGATGGAAACTATGTACTGCTTTTACAATTCTCCATAATTCTACCCTGTAATGTTCTTTACTGGAAGGACTACATGTAGTACATGTCAGCAAGGAGCTTGAGAATAACTACTAGTAGGTAATATTCCGCACACAGTCTTGCTATCACCCTGAGCTTGCCAATCTTCGAGCAATTGTACTATGTATCAATACAAGAGAGACCTAATTAATAGTTGTCCATACAAGAAATGGGATGTCCAGACACGAAAATGTCACTGATGTAGCAGATGTCCATGAGTCCTGAGCTTTTGAATGGGTCCCTGAGATTGGACTGGGAGTTTGCCAACACTGGAAGACAGTTGTGAAGCTGTCAAGCTGTCCCCTGGCACTTACAGCCCACTCCGAAAAGCAATAACATTACCCTGACAACCTGCATCCACAATTTACCGGCCCTTAGACAGAGTTAAGATCACCGCAATCCCCCGAAGCTCTGACCCAGTTTACATAGAAATTGTTTCTTCATCCAGATTTACTGGGGGAGTTATGGTCCGTGACCTATTGAAATATTTCATTACTATACAGTATATGCTGGTACTTATTCGAAATCAAAGCACTAGAATGTAGTACATTGTACTTCAAATTCAAATGGGGTAGTAAGCCCTCAGTCCTGTGTATGGGAAGTTTTAATCGTTAGACCTCTGCACATTGAAGAACCCAGCACACTTGTCAATAAAAGTAGGCATCATCTCCAGTGTTGTTGGATGAAGCTGTGAACTGCTGCAACTTAAAGTTGCATCACACTAGCTAGTACATTGAATTGGCTCTATAGTAATGATTACTATTAGCTATTACTAATAGACTTTAGTATTGGATGACTTCTTGAATTACATGTCATAATTTACCTTTTTAGTATGGGGAATAAACCCCAACTAGAAAGGCCAATATTTGCTTTGGAGCAAATACAGCGATGGGTTCACCACATTTTACGACATGGCAGGGAAAGAATGGGAAACACAAGGGAAAACAATGATTTACATTGATATAACTATAATATGAAGTAAAATACAACAAAAACAACAGTTGGATAGCTATTCCCTACTTTATTGGTTAGGATTTTTAATTGCATAATGCAAACTGTTGATTTTCAAAATAAAAAAAAACGTCCATGCCCGGCATTCCACTGCTGGAGCAGGAAAGCTTGAAATACCTACCAAAACACTTGAATACAGACATACTGTCAGTATGGAAATGCTTCTGTGCAGGTGTTAATCAAGTTAAATCCCAACAGCCAATCAGCAAGAAGTATAGAGGAAAGCTGCATGCCTATTGGTTGATGCCCTGCATTCCATTGTGATGACTCATGTCCAAACGTGGTAAACAAGGCACCCTAACACAGTAATACATTTGCTATAACACAGCCAAAAAACTCAAATAAAACCATTCTAAAAGCCTGTATCACAATAATTTAAAAAACGCCTAGGGGTATTTGCCCACTGTACCTCCATACCAAATTTCAGGACCTTGGGCCCTAAAATGAAGAAGCTGAATCCATTTAAAAAATGGCAGGAGGAGAAGGAGGAGGAGGAGAAGAAGAAGAAGAAACATCAGAAAAAGCAATATGGTTTCACCACACCACTTCGTGGTGTGGTGAACCCATAATGAGTTCTCTTCATATAAGATACATATGTGTGCAACAATGAAGCTTGCACATATCATACATTGTACTAGAAGTCAATCTTAATTTGTCTTGAGCAAAGTGAAGTTCCAACCATGATCTTTGCAATGTAACAGCCTTCAATGTTATGCATTTCTGACAAAAACCACCGTCCTGCATCAGTTACAAGGGAGTTACAGTCAAAGGAAGTTGCATGACCATTTTACGTATGTTCGTCTTACCCTATCCAACCTACACCTTTAGGACTTTGCTATGCCCATCAGATTTATGTACACATGTATAGCTATATATGATACCACTATAATAACTGCTTAAAGGCTTTGGCAGAGAGTGTGGTTGTTACACAAATGACTGAACATGTCAGCAACTCTTCTGACCTAGCTGTACCCCCTATCAGCAGACTAAGGGAATGTATGGGGTATTATAATCACTGCAATCATACAAGTGACATGAGGAACAATATGCTGGGAGTGAAAAGAACCAGTGTACAAGAGGTTAGCAATTTCATATTAAGGTCGCTAGATTAGAGTTTCAGAACCACAAAATGCAAAAAAAGATTGCGGTCCTTTCGTATTCAGTTCACTATCCTGATAAGAGTTAAAACAACACGGAAGTTTACGAATACACTTTCCATATTTAGAGCAATTGTTCACTATACTTTTAACATCCTGGCATACAAAAAACATTATCAACTGAGCCAATCTGTATATCTATATAGGAGTTGAAACAACACGGAAGTTCATGCACGTTCCATATTTCGAGCAATTATTGCATACTTTAACATCCTGTATATAAAGACCATTATCAACTGACCCAATCTGTAGATCTTGTTTTGGTAAGTTTCTGTAATTGTTTGCTTCTATGTCCAAACGACTATTAGTATTATGACCATAGTTTTTTTATACAGTAAAACTAAGGTCCAGTTAAAAATACAAAAACACCTGGCTCCCAGGTAAAAATTTGGCATAGGATATGAGACTGGACACACACGTATGTGCAGTCAATTTCACATTCCCTTATCATTACTTTTTGTTGTTATCTCTACTGTGCCAGTTCAGTTCAGTTCAAATGTGCCAACTTACCAATAATGTTGTGCTACATCTGTGTAAAACATAGCCAAACTTTGCAGATATATATAAATTCCCTCCGTGCCTGCTTCAGACAATTTTCCTACGAGTATGAAATGTAATTTGGCAGCGCTGGGCTGCCAGAGTCCTACTGTTGACCCCCAGCTGTAAGCACCAGCAGTGATTTCCATAACAAAGCCTCACACCTGCCAGCTCTAAAAATAACAACTGAACTCTTGAATAACACTGAATATAAAGATGACATGTTAGTGCACTAGAGCATATGCTGCCACCCAATTAGTATACATAGTGTACTACAATATGTGCATACCCTTAAGCCATAACTAGCAGAAGGGGGTGATAAATTCAAGTTGCAGCTCTGGCATACAATCAGAAAATATTCAAACCTGTAAATATGACACATGATAAATTCAAGTTGCAGCTCTGGCACATAATCAGAAAATATTCAGACCTGTAAATCGAACACAGAGCATGTTTTGAATTACATTATGATACTTTGAAGACATCATAAAAACGTATTCCTTAGCCGATACCTAATCTTCCATATGTTAATACCTGGAAAATGTGCATTGAAAATGAAATACACATAAAACGACACAAATAGTTAGTTGCCATGTAAATTGTCCTTCAGTTAATTCCAAAATAACAGCAATGAATTGTATTGATAAGTTCTGTTGAATCACAGTGGGACAAATGTGTAATGATCAGCTGCAACACCTGAAACAAATTGCTACAAATGCATGCATTTTCAAAACAATAGCACGCAGGTTCATTCACATCATAAATAAAGTAGTAAAAACATTTTTCTCTGAGTCAGAGGAAGGTTCATATCAGAGGAACATTGAATTTAATATATTAAAATACAAAAACTAAATCTTTACCTACAAATAGATGATATCATTTTGGTGGTTCATACGTACCAGACATGACAAATGTGCAAATACTGTAATTGGGGAAAGTCGAAGTAGCAAACACTTTATATTATACGGCCCTTGCGTGCTACCCTAAAGCTGCGTATGACATGGCCTAGTCATGGTGGAATGTCAGTTTCGAGTGCAGAGTTCACGCATGACGCAGCAAGCAGCAAGCGAAACCGACACGTAGATAACTCCCTTTCAACAACAAAAGTCAGCTGAGAGCTGAGAACTCACCTTGGGGTTTTGTAGAGTCCAGAGGTGGTGGTCAAAAGGGCCAGGAACAAACTGCGTACACAACAGAACAAGAACGGTGTGTGGTCATGATAAAAAGAGGTCACGCCTCCTTCTTGATAGCTTGCATAGGCAAGCAAAACTACCAGGCGTAGATTTCACGACCGCAACAAATGACATTGTGTAAACAAACAATGTTGACAGGAGCAGGAAGTTGTCGACGATAATTTTT